GAGCCGAGGTTGCACCACTGCACTCCAGCCTGGGCAACAGAGTGAGACTCTATCTCAAAAAAATAAAGACAAAAAAAAAACTTTCTGAGCCTCAGCTCCTCATCTGTAAAGTGAGGAATGTTATGAGGTTGTCGTGACATTGATCTATATCCATTAATGGTAACTGTTAACGATGATGATGATGATGAGCAGCAGCAGCAAACTGCAAGCTACGTTTAAAGCATTTGGGGGAAAATATAAAGAAAGAGGGACATAAAAAGATTCTAAATGACACATTCTGCCTTTCCAGAATGATGGCTACTGAGAAATGATGTACAAACCAATATTGTAGTAAAAGGCTGTGTCTGTATAAGGGAAAAATCATTTCCAATTTCAATGATTTGAAGTGGGGAGTACTGGGAAAAGCAAAGATGTTAAGAGTCAGTCTTAGCTTTGCCTCTCACTTTGTGACCTTGGGTAATATCCTTGGTGCCCTCAGCATCCCAGTCTATAAAGAAAACCCGAAGGGTTGTTGTAGTCATTCAATAAGGAAAATGCTTAGGCTATGACTGGAGAAGGGTAAGTATTTGAGTTTCCACCCTTTCCTTCTGCTGCCCTGACCAGGCACCCAACCTTGCAATAAGGCTGGTCAGAGCTTGATTCAGTGAACTGCAGAGGTTTGGGAGATCCCAGACATGCTCATGAAGACCAATGAGCATGTGGCCCCTGCAGGAAGACTGAAGTTACCTGTACAGCATTACCTGTACAGCATCAAAGCTGCAATCACCACCAAAATCAGCAGAATACTGAGGAGTCCACCAATGGCGTAGCTGATATGAAGTCCTTCCCCTAGGAAAAACAGAGAAACACTAGGCAGGGGCCACTGACAACCTTCTAGCTGGTGCTGGTGTGAGGAATGGAAAGCTGAAGGGCTCCTTTTGTAGGTGTTGGATCCTATATCATCTGAGGATGGCTAAGGGCCTCCTTTTCAGATAGGTGAATGGGAGGTGTAGGGAGGAGGCTGAGAAGAAATCTGTCACTCTGCCAGCATCTCTGATCCCATTTCAACCCCTTCCTAGCTATCTGACATAAGGCAAGATGCTAAACTTGTAAGCCTACATTTTCTCTTTAGTTATATGTAAATAATAAATTGCTCATAGGACTGGAGGAGAGTATATGAGAGTATGTATATATACATGTACACACACATGTATGTGACCTATATGTGGCTTATCACATGCTTGGCATATGGAAAGCATATCATAAGCTGTCACTGTAGTGATGAGAGCTATTATGATTATTATTTCTATGGATTTAGTTTAAAAAGAGTTCATCAACCCCAAAGTCCCAATGAAGGTTATGAAAGATATCAGTGGAGACTTAGATTCATTACATCTTCTTTTCCAGAACAGTGGGGTACTCAGGGCTTACCTGGAGCAGCAGGAACGGCCTCATTGGAACGTGCACAGAGGCCCAGCCTGGCATCCCTTTCAGAGCATCTGTGGGGCACAGAAAACTGAATGTGAAGCCTACTTATACTCAGTGAAGATCACGCCTTCCTCCAGGAAAGGGGGAAAGGCCTGTAAGCGGGGGCTTTCAGGTATGAGAATGTACCAGATGGAAGATATCAGAAGCATGGAGAGGGCAACAGCAGGAAATGGAGAGAAATCTGTGCAAGGCACTGTTTTCAAGTGTTATACCATGTTTAAATGTGTTATAAAATATGTACCTTTAAAAATGAGAAGCAGGTTTGGGAGTGAGTTGGAAGTCTGCAGAAAGAATACTAAGGACATCAATATTAGGCTTTCTTAAACTACCAGGATGAGTCAGAAGAAGCTGCTAGCCAAGCCAATCTGATTGGATAAAAATTATCACAAGAGCTAAATATCCCAAGGTCAAAAAATGTTTTTCTTCTCTTCATTCTTGCACAAGGGAACATGCAAGACATCCAGAGGGAGTGCTCAGATAACTAACTTGAAATGCTCAGAAGGTGACTTCTTTGTGGTACATTTTGAGCAGGCAATCAAAGGCATCTCCTAAACAGCCAGAGAAAAGCTACTTGCAAGAGCATTTGGAACCAAGATGCACTGAATTTTCAAATAGAACTCTGACAATAAGAAAAGGTCCGAGCAGGGGTCAAAAGTTTTCTAAATAAACCTAAAGAAAATCAGAGTAATAATGACTGATAGTACTTAAAAGTTAGTGAGTAGGCTGGGCGCGGTGGCTCAAGCCTGTCATCCCAGCACTTTGGGAGGCCGAGATGGGTGGATCACGAGGTCAGGAGATCGAGACCATCCTGGCGAACATGGTGAAACCCCATCTCTACTAAAAAGTACAAAAAAACTAGCTGGGCGAGGTGGCGGGCGCC